CAAGTAGCTGGGACTACAGGTGCCCGCCACAACCCCTGGCCATTTTTTGGTTGCAGCCATCATTGTTGTTTGGTGGGCCCAGGCTGGGGATTCGAACCTGCCACCTTAGGTGTATGTGGCTGGCGCCTTAGCCGCTTGAGCCACAGGCGCCGAGCCAGAAAATGGAAATTTTCTAAAAGCGCTTTATTTTTGGAATAGTATCTTACCATACTCATTTCTCACCTTGTTGGGCTATAGCTTAATGACTAGGGAGAAGAATGTTTTGAGGATTGAAATGTCTTGACTGTTGACTAACCATATTATCTTTTATAGAGACGCTCTCCTGGTCTGCGTTCTGATTCTTCTTTGGAACAGAGCTTAAGGATCACCGTTGGCAATGATCACTTCTGTGTTAGTACACCAGAACGGCGACGGCTTAGTGATCGTCTGGGGTCACCAGTGGACAATCTGGATGACATGGATAGGTAGGTTCCATCTAAGGTAAGGTTGTACTATACTTGAAGGCAGAAATGTTGCTGTTTTCTCATTGACATATTTGAAGGATAGTTCCAGCCCTGAAGTTATTCCCTGTGTCCACATATCCAGTACAAAGGATGACATTGGAAAAAAGCTTTGTAAGTGGGGAAGGTTTATTGATTTAGACTCTTGCTGAATCAATTGTATAAGAGAAAAGGCTTAAAAGATCATCCCAGTCTGACTAGAAAGGAGAGACAGAGGAGGCATAATAAGAGTACCCCAAATCAAAATAGCTCAGAAGGAATGGATTCAAAAATACTGGAGCTACAAGGGAGTCTCTTCAAAGGAACATTCTGGACAAAATAGGAGATCTTTTTTTAATTGTATTTTTTATTTAGCTTGTCAAGCTGAAATACAGACTCAGACAGTGTTCAGATAATTTCATATCTAATATGTATGTTAAATATATAAAGCATGGAGATCTTTAAACATGTTTTAGTTTAGTTATTATTTTACAACTATTAAGTACCAAGAAAGAGCAAATATGCCCCATGGAGTATTGAATATAGACCTTAAGTACATTGGGTGTTTTTCACCTCCCAGAAGTAAAAAAGTAAGGATGGGTATGCAGAAAAGCACGCTCTCAGAGTTGATACTGTTAGGTCTCTGCCCAACACATTGAGAGTTTTCACAAAAGATTATCAATAAAGTAGCAATAAATAAGTTAATGACTGTCAGTACAGTGGTGCACAGAGATAGCCAGGCAGGTGGGGAACAGCTGGACAGGAAGTCTTGAGGACCATGTTGCCTTTGGTAACATTTTTTTTTTTTTTTGAGACAGAGCCTTAAGCTGTTACCCTGGGTAGAGTGCTGTGGTACCACAGCTCACAGCAACCTCCAACTCCTGGGCTCAAGCGAGTCT